TTCACCCCTCTCATATTTATAGAGAATCTGAATGAGGGTTTAATCCTTAATATCTAAAGGATAGATCTGTTGAGAGGATTCCTTGTTCCAGCACGAAAAAAGGGATAGTAGTTTAGTCTGACAAAAGAAAACCCCATCAAAAGTCAGTTTTTATGATGATCAGTTTTGATCTCCGGTCAACCAACTCTCTTACTCTTGTTTATCTCTCATAAACCCCACTTGACCTAATGCAAAGCCCTCTTGAGCATAGGAAAGAAACTTGGCATTAAATGGTTATGGGGAGTTATTTTCGGATTAGACCTTCTACCAACTCCCTATCACGTCATTTGCCCTGCTGAAATCTGGACTTTAGAGTCACGTGGGCTCTTGTAAAGAGAGAGAGATCTTCCCAAAAATCTGCTGACTTGAGTTCTGAAATTGTGATCAACGGTGATGATCAAATTTTGATCCTTCGGAGAGATTAGAAGCTGGGCTTAGTTTTTAAACCAATTAGAAACAGATTTGTCCAGATTAAATTACCATTAATGGAAATTAATCTTTGTTGAAGCCCAAAAAATCCAAGGCTGGACCCAAATATATTTCTAACCTAGTACGACACCTAACTTGGGAAAAAACACAACTTGGGTACGTAAGAGTTTGTCATATGTGCTGTTTGGGCCAAAAGCTAATACACGCCGACCCACTTCTCAAAAGCCCACGAAACAAAAGGAATAGAAAAATGGGCTTCAAATATCAGAACAGGAGCAAGCCCAACCCACGTCTTTTTCAGAAAATGGCAGAAAAGTAAAAAATGCCAAGTCAAATGGCGATTATAAATCAGATTGGGCCCAGTCTACAAAATCTTCCATTTCTCTCAAAAGGCCCAGGGACAAATCAACAGCTCTTTTTTGAAGAGGCCGACGTGAATAATCTCAACAATTTCAACTAAATTGATAAAGAGTTGATAAAAGCAGGCAACTAGGAAGAGACTTCTCTGAAACTCTGCCACCAGAAGATCAAAAATTCCTTTTTATATATACATATATATTCATAGATATTTTCTGCTCCTAAGAAAGACTCTATTTTCAAGAGATAAGCAGACTGTATCCAAGAGATAAGTAGGAAAACAGGGAGTTGTTCAACTGGAATATCAAACTAACCATCACAGCTTGAGCTCTCACGAGGGGCAGTTAAAATTGGAAAAAGGAATTAGGTTTTCTTTCAAGAAAAAAATAGGGAAATGATAGCCATGAGAATTGACTACTGAGAGCTTATCTACCAGAATTGATAAAACCCCTCTTTCTTTGCATTTAAAAAATGGAATATCTTTTTAGAAAATCTGCCGCCCATTTTAAATCAGAAAACTTTATTCCAAAACCAAGGGCGGAACCAGAATTTTTTTTACGGGTAGGCTAGCTAAAATTTTAAATTTTAAATCTAATTATTATTTTAATTAAAAAACTTACAATTTCTGCAGTTTTTAATAAATAAAAGTATAATTACTTCATATAAATCATAGTTTCATTAAGTAATTTCTAATAAGCTTTATCATAAAGAAAAAAATACATATTAAATGCAATAACAAAAAATACATATTATCAAAATGAATATATGAATAGGTTGTGTGCTCTTTTACTTGCTTGATTATGATGTTAAATCTAATGTTTGCAATTGGAATATATCTGTTTTTTTTTTTCGCATCAATTGAATAAGCTTCACAAATGCAAAGTGCAAAAATATAAATAATTAGATTAAGATATTGTGCCCTTTTTAAAACCCTTTTCCCACCAAAAGGTAGGAGAGAAAAGAATATTTTATTAAACACCGCAAAAAAGAGAAAAAGAATAAAAATAGATTGAAAACAAATAATATTTCCCTCTTCTAGAGGTCTAGCAGTAAAACAGAAAAAAGAAAGGGAAAAAAAGTCTTGTGGAAAGAAGCAAACAATCTAACTTGTTGCTTACACGTTTATAGATATGGGTTTTGATGATCTACTTGTGGAGGGAAGCAAACAATAATTAAACCAACCAGACTGGAGCATATAGATATAGGTTTATTTTTGTCTTCAAAACCTACTGGGCTACAGCCCACCGTAGTCGTGGTTGTAGTTCTGCCCTTGTCCAAAACATTTCTCATAAATATAGGAGAGGGTGAACAAAGCAAAGGACATCCAACACCCAACTCAACAATTAATCAAACAACCAAAAATCAACCCAAGACAAGAAATCAAAATGATCACTTGATCCTTGAGAACCCTCAAGCAAACTGAAGCAACCAAGAGCTTAGTCAAGCCACAGAAGAAGCCAGCCATAATTCAGAATTTCCAAGTTCAGACTTAGAAAATAAGTCATTCAAAACGAGATTCCTCTCGTTACAAATTTGGTTCAGCAACAGCTAAGACAAGCAGAGTTTGAGTTTTCACAAATATTAAAACCTCAACAAATTTATGGAGAGCCCTGACCAAGCATAACAGGTACCATAGTGCAGTTCCGGCTCAGTAATCCTCAAGCCCAGCCACTTCTGCCCTGTTTAGACTGAAGAAGTTGCAGTTCTGCCCGTTCAAAAAGCCTTCCAGGGCTTGAAATAGATTAATGCTCTGCCAGAACCAAGCTTTGGTATCGATTTACAGCTGAAGTTTAGCAGTTGAAGTGGTTGATAGCTCAATCCAGCAAAGACATACTCAGTCCAGCCCGGATCAGAAGCTTCTATCCAGACAGAAATGGAATTCCAGCTTTCTTTTTGTCTTTCTAGAGTTGATTTCTTCCTTTCTAGTTTTGTAAAAGGCAGTTCTGCCTAAAACAGTTCACTTTATTATCAATTATTTTGGCCAGAACCTCCAATTTTGTACTGAGATAAATTGTGAAGTCCTCACCAGTCTGAGGCAGGAAAAGAACTTACTTGGGAGATATTCCTCACCCAAATTCACAATCGCTTGTTTAGAAATCAGTAACTTGGGGCGCAAGTTATCTATTTTAAGAAGTCTGCAAGAATTGTTGTTACTAGCAGTGGCACACTCGCACACTAAAGAAAGTTGACTTGTTAACCAGTCAATGGTTTTCAAGACAATGGGGAACTTTGCCCTACCATCGAAGAAACAAACACAATACGGGTGAACATGCGCTTGCACACGTGCCACACCAAGCAAATAAGCAACACGCCACACTACAAGCTTAAGTGATCCTAAGCCACGCGAATGTCTGGGGCTTGTTGAGCAGATTGTGATATGGATGGTTTAGAGCATTCATGAGACCCATTGATGGGCCAAGAAATGGAAGTTTTAGGCTGATTGGGAGCCCCAAAACTCGACCCCATTTATTTAGCTCAAATATGTGGGTAAGCATGAAAGAGAGAAAAAGGTAGCCCATTACCTTAGAAAATTGGCCCATCACCTTAGTAAAAAATAGTCCATCACTCTAGAAGGTTGGCCCATCCCCTCAGTAAACTAGCCCAGTACCTTAGGGAATGGCCCAAGTGACTTAGAAAAATCTAAAAGTCTCCAACACATGGCTAGAGACAAAACCACAACAGAAAACCAAGGGATAGAGACTTGCGCAAGCTGCTGGGAAGCTCTAGCACGTGACCAAAGGCAAACCTCAAGACAAACCATTCAAAAGACCAAGGGGTATTAGTGTGCGCAGGTTGCTAGGAGAAAAGGCATCCTTCATACCAACGCTGCTATCTATTTCCTTCTTTTACCAGCTCTTACCATGAAATAAGGGAGGAAAGAAGGAGAAGTGATAACCAGAGATGGGAGGTTACCACTGGAATGATTGTGGGAAGACTTTTGAGCTCCCAAAAATCTTGTCTCTGTGTGCTTGGACAGATGGGGATTTCAAAAATTAGGATGAATCAGAGGAAGGGAAGAGAAATGAAAGGGAAGGCTTGGAAAAATTGGAGATAACCCATTAGGGTTTCTTGGGAAGAAGCTCCTTTAAAAGGGGGTATCCTCTACCCATTATCTCAAGACACGTCCAGAGAGAGCAAGCATCACCTCTCATCCTTGGAACCCTTCAATTTCAAGCCATATTCCTCCATCTCTTCCCATCTTTTCTTCTAGCAAGCCATTCCAGAGCCTGACGAAGCTTTCGTCAAGCTGCCGGAAAATTACCCAAAGCACCCATTCTTTCACCCTAATTTCTGTCTCTCTCTCTCTCTCCTCAGCAAATTCTCACAAAATCCTTTGCTTTAAACCTCGGTTTCTTGTAGAAAATCTAGTCTTTCTCTCTCTCATGCTAAACTCATGAATGCTTAGCTTCCATGCCACAAGCCTCTCAAATCAAGCCAAAAATTTATGTAAGCAACTGTTGGTTTCATTGGTAAAGAAGACTAAGGTGTTTCCTGAAGCTCAGCTACGCTTTTGAAGCACTCTTGGGGTTTGATTTTTGAACTCAGACCCAAGGGCAATTTCACACATTTGGCTCTTTACAGTAGCCCAGACCCATTAGTAGCTGTCGGAATGAAAAAGCCCCTACAATCCTTAATTTGTAAATTTATTCCTTGTAACTAGTTCACAAAGGTCTGGGCCTCTAAACGCATTTGGGCTGACTTCTGACTTTAATAAAACAAAGCGCAAACTCTTGTTTTTGACATGGGCTGGTGCGTGGAATTTAGGCCCAAACCACTATAAACGTTTTTAGTCATATTATCACAGATCAAAAGCTATATATGAGCTTCATGTTAATCAATACACCTATCCGAACCACTTTCGTCTAAGTGTGCAATCATCCCCAAAGGTAGAAACCCATTTCACTTTTTCCCAAATTTAGGAGCAGCACTATTAGCAATCATGTTTCATGAAAGATAAAAATCAATTCATTCCTCAATAATTGAGGTTACAATAATGAATATGGTGACAAGTAATTTTTTGACGTGGTTCAGAAAATATATTTAACTCGAAGTGACATCAATATTATTTATAAATTTGAAAATATTTTAAACTGAATATTAAACAGAAAAACGTAAGTTCTTCATGTGTCGAAATTCCTAACAAAGGGTACATGCATGCATCCTGCCTCTGAGAAATGAAATGTATAGGAACCTACCTAAAACAATGAAGAAACCACACATTTAAAGGAAATATGAACCAAAGGGATATCCTAAATTACATCAATATAATTTCGTTTTCTGGTGCTTTGTTACTAACAATGAAAAAAAGGACATAGTAGATCAAGGATATGTATTTGTTAGTTGCTGGACTGTTCCAGGAAGTGAAGCATCCCATCATGAACAAGACCAACCCATGCCCCAGCCTGAATGATGACTTCTTAGTTGCTGGAATGTTCCAGGAAGTGAAGCATGCCACAATGAACAAGACTAGCCATCAGAAGTAAATGCCACAATGTTCCAGAAATCAACACACTTGGGTAATTTTCTCCACAAATCCATCAGAAGTAAATGCTTTGCTATATAGCACTTCCTCTGTTATTGTATCAAGAATGTGAAGCACTAGAGTTGCGTTCTTACCTGGAATTAACTTCGCAGTTTCAAGTTTTTTCTTTGTCCTCCTTACTCTTAATAAACAAATGCAGAAGAACATAACTATTAGTACCACAGAAACAACAATTGGCACAACGATAATGATGACAGTTCGAGATTTGTCACTCTTCGATCCTGCAAAAATCAGAAATCTCATTTGCATTAATTTGAATACATACATACAGATATATATGCATTAGAAATCTATTCGACCCAAAATTGTTGTAGTGTCAACAGTGGCAATGGTCCCTCAACTTGTACACGAGACAACTACATCAACTAAAAATTGAATTGAGAGACTAAAATGTAACTCGTCTACAAATTCCTGGACAATTGCTCTAGTTAAGCAAACTTTATTTCTTCAAAGCATAATATATTGGGATGTAAATATATATATATATATATATATGTACCTCCTGTACTGGCTGACGGGGGAGGAGGACTAGACAGTGGCGACGGAGAAGACGGCAATGGTCGGATAGTTGTAGTGTTAACCTCATACCTAACATTACAGCTGGGTTTACTAATTAGAGCACCTTGCTTCCCCTCAAAAATTTTTGGAATATCTGCCAAAGAACTGCCCAAGCAATCACTGCAGACCTGCTCGGTCAAATCCGGCGTACACTGCGCAAGTCCATAGACATTTTGGAAGTTGGGAAAGGTTGCGGTCCCTACCGCAAATTTTCGAAGTGAACCGTTTCCTGCAGCTTGACCCCTTAGGTCCTCCAGTAGCGTATTCAGTTCTTGAGAAAACCCGTCGACGTCGGAGGGCACGTTCTGTGCGTTATACCACATGAGAGGAGGGAAAGTTTCCATGGCTCCGTAGATGGAGCGGTTGGAGTAGCGAAGCGTGCACTGTTCAATTACGCCGAAAGCTTCCTTTTGATTGGGACAGCCCTGTGTGATCTGTTGTGTGGCGTTGCTGAGGCAGCCACGGCAAAAGTCCACCGTGACATCCCCTCGACATAGCCCGATTGCGTAAACCTGGTCGGGGTTTTCCCCATAGGATAAGTTGTAGAAGCCGTAGCCATTGCCGTTGTTGGAGGGGGAAGAAAGAGAAGAGAGAAGGGTGTTGAGGTTTGTCTTGTAGGTACTGTTGGTGGTGTAGTTGCCTTTATCGTTGTAACAATATGGGGATTGAGATTGAGTGCTGATCATAAGGAACAAAACGGGAGAAAGGAAGAACAGAAATCTGAAGGAGAACATTAATGGCGCCATTCTGTTTGTACATTATTGTTGGTCAAATCAAAAGAGAGCATAATACATAAAAAAGAAAATGTAATTTATTTCTCAAATTGATTGAATATTAAACCATTTTTAACGATGGCGTTTAGGAGTAAAGGACACTGATTATGCATCCACTATTTCCTTGTCAGTTGTCCAAAAAAACTGATCAACACACACCATTTTTTATTTAGCTCTTTACTTTTCTCTCTTTTTTGCCCTTGACGAGAGAGAGAGAGAGAGAGAGGTGGGTGTGGCCCTGCCCTGTGAGGTAGGATGGAGCAGTGGGCACATGCATCAGTGCCTATTTTGAACAAGATTTTGAATTTCAACTGACAAAAGAGAGACGTGCCTACGTTCACAACTATTCACGCGGTATAAGTCCGTGCCTTTAGAGCAGTTTTCTACTAGTGGGGCCAACTTTCTTTTCTTTCTATTGCCTTTTCTTTCTAGAACCAAATTAAACGTTGGCCACATCGTTGATATATCATGACATGAGTAAAAAAATAGGTTCATTATACTAGGTAAATTGTTTTACTAGGTACATTATTAGAGGAAAAAAAAATACAAATTTATAAATAAACCCAATCCTAGACATGTATTTATAAAAAAACCCAAACATTATTTAAACATAGAAACACACCCAAAATCAACCCCAAAATCAACAATTGTATATTTTTTGAGTGTGTTTATAAATGAGTTTTGAGTGTGTGTAATGATGAGTTTTGGGTGTGTTTATAAAATGTTTTGGGTGTTGGGTTTTTTTATAATTTCAGCCCCCATTTTGGGTGTTTTAGTGAAACTCCCAAAAAAAAAATAGGTACATTATTTTGAGGGAAAAAATAGGCTCATTTTGAAAAAAAATTCATAAAACAAACAATAAAAAGATGATCAAATTATTTTTCATAAAACAAGTAATAAATAAAAAAAAATAGGTACAATATTTGGAGAAAAAATAGGTTCATTAAAAAAAATGTTTTAAAAACAAAACAATAAATAGATTATTAAATTATTTTTCAACATAATTAGAATGTACCCTAATAAAAAATAATACTGGTCGTATAATTCATAAAAAGAAAACAACATTAATTCTTAAATTTAATATTGAATTTAAATTATTAATACTTTAAATAGATTACTAGTCGTAATTCATATAAGGAAAACACCATTAATTCAAAAATAAATTACTAGTTGTAAAATAGATTACTAATACTTTAATGTGGAATTTAATATTTAATTTCAAATAAGTTTCTAAATTAGTTCCTACATCCATTACAACTATTTTGAGATATTTCCAAATTCAACGGGTGTCATTAGTTACACCCCCCATAACACATTAACTTATAACTTGGGGTAGTTTTGGAATCCAAAAAATATAATAAATCAGATTTTAAGTTATATTAGGTAACTTGCTTAGTTGGATTCTAGTCATCGGTTATTATTTGAAAAAATTAGGTATTTTAAATAGAAAACTAAAAAAAAAAGGTTGCAGGTGATTTTAAATGAATTTTATGGGTCTAAGCTCAATTTACTATAAAATAAAAGCCATACACACATATTGACAGAGACGGGACTGGTTCTTCTTGTGATTTTTGATGAGGACTAATTGGAGATTTCAAATAAATAAAACAATTGAATATTGGAAGGGGGGGTGCATGGTTGACGTCAAGGCAAGGAGATATTGCAAGGAATTTTCTACTGTGGACGGACTGCTTTTTTCTTTACCAACCTTAATTAAGTGGGTGTCCTGGTCGAAGGAATGGAAACTTCTAAAAATGAAAAAAAGATAAAAATGTTCCAATAAGCATATGTAATTCATGAAATTGGAAACATCTAAGCTGAAACTCAACGTCCATTTAGGGATAAGAGGGCCCCATTTGGGATTGTTTTTTTTCGCCGAAAACCTGCTTCACTTTAAAGTTAAGCAGTTTCAAGTGTTTGGTAAAAATAAAATATCCTGATTATTTTAAAAGAAGTGGCTTTTTGACAGCAGCTTTTAAAAGCAAACTCTGGATTACTTTTCAAAACTGCTTTCAAAAGAAGAAGATATAAACCTTTAATGAATTTTTTTAATTCCCAAAATACCATCATTCATTTTAAAAAATGACCCCCCCCCCACTTCCACATCCAACTCCACCACTTGCACCACCACATTCACTACCTCCACAACCGCCGCCACTATCACTGCCACTACCATCACCACCACATCCTCCTCCTCCTCCACCACCACCTCCAGAACCGCCATCCCCATCACCACCACTACCACAACCACAACCACCAACTCCACCTTGATCACCACCACCACCTCCAGAACCGCCATCCCCACCACCACCACTACCACAACCACAACCACCAACTCCACCTTGATCACCACCACCACCTCCACTCCATCACCACCACTACCACCACATGATTAGTACATAACACTTTCAATATTATGCCTATTTTAGTCATTATTCACAGTTACAACAATTTTATATTAAATTTACCAAACGGTTTTGACACTGCTTTTTGTATTAACAGCACTTTAAAAATATTATTTACCAAACATGGAGCTGCTTTACTTTACAGCTATTTTCAAAGCACAACAGAAGCAACTTTTTTTAGAAAGTGACAGCAATTCTAAACTAGGCCAACTCAAGCATCCAACTTTTTCTTCTTTTTTGTTTTTGCAAATTATGATTCTGGTCTCTATAATTTGGCAAAATCTGACGTTAATTAAACTGTTAAATGGAAAATTAAATTTCAATTTCAATTTGGGTGGAAAATTAAAAATCATTTAATGCCACATCAAATATTTGACTAGAATTATGAATTATGATCTAATCCGACCATATAATATTGCCCACTAAATTGGCCCTAAAAAAAAGCTACATCACAACAATATGAGTCTAGTCACAACAAAAGTATCGAACTCATTGAGAACATATATAGTCCTCGATGTCCATGTGAATCAAACTTGAGACCTTCTCTAACTGAAAATGCTACTAAAACAAAGGCTAGTTAGTAGCCCAAAATTCCTTTCAAGTTTAGAAATTGTCATAGCTTTGTTCTGTGAGCAGATCCTCAACATCTTGTAAAATAACATCAATTCCGATTCCCATCACCCATCTAACTTTATAGAGTTTACAAGCTAAATTTACAAAGAAAATTAACTAGGTTATTACTTGTAGACTACTCCAAATCAATTACAATTAATATAAACAAGGAAACTAAAACTAACTTTCCTAGTTCTTAACACCCATGTTCTTATGAGAACTAGGTGCAATTGTTAGTTACAAGAACCGACATACCTTATGCAAAAGGGAATCCAGCAACTGAAGGCTTTAACAATTATATAATACTATAGCCTGGTTATTGATTGAAATGGTCCCCTAATTTTTACTCCAATCTCATTTTAGTCCACCAACTAAAATTTTCATTTCAATAGTCCTCCAACTCTCTATTTAGTATCCAAAATGGTCCTATTGTGAAAGTCTGTCAATTTTGCCATTAAATTCAGGGGTTAAAGTGTCTCTATAAATTAAAATAGTAATATAGAGTTTTAAAAATTAAAGGAAACTATTATAAAACTTAGAAAATTTTAAAACATTGAATCTCACCAGCCACATAGCTTTTTTTTTTTTTTCCAGTGAGATTGACCTAACAATTAATAAAAAATTTATCTATTGTTTAAATTAATTAAAAATTTTAAAATCAGATAAATACAAAAATAAAATAACAAATTTTTTAAAAGAGTAAACAAACCCATATTTATACAAAAACACTGCCTTGCATCCCAACTCCACAACCTCCCCCCTCTCAGCCTTCCCCCACACATCCCTCTGCTTTTTCTCCCTCACGACCTGACCATCCCATCCCCACCCGCAACCCACAGCCCCAGCCCCAAGCCCCAAGATTCTAATTCGGGCAAAAAATTGAGGAAATGATATTGCTCAAAACTCAAGAGCGAGGGATGCTGAACACACTCTATTTCTTTGATTTGGTTTTCATCCAATCTATCCCCAAAGCACATCAAAACCAGCAAGCAAAACATGGCGTATTGCAAATGCTCGACCACTGTGACGCCTTTGGGTTAGGTTTGAGAATTTGTTTCAAGCCAGTCTCCTAGGATGTAGCACGTACTCATTTTTATCATCTTTGTTCCCTGTGCTCAGGCACCTTCTTTTGTATTTGTTGATGAAATTTGTACAAGTGCATGACAAAGTGTTTTAACTGCTGCCCTGATCTTCCTTACTAGTTATCAATCTATTGGGATAATGTTTCTTTCTGGACAATGAATGATCATTTATATTTCCCCTATTTGCTTTATACTTTGATGCTGTGAATTATTTTCAGGATTTATTTCTTTTTTCTCTCTCAGTATTTAGCTCTTTACTTTGGTTTTTTGATAAGAAAGTTTTAAATTTTAATGTATTATATATAAGAGAGGGGGAGAGAGAGAGAGAGAGAGAGAGAGAGAGAACGTGTGCAAGAAGCTTAAGTTGGACTTTTCTCTCTTTTTTGCCCTTGACGAGAGAGAGAGAGAGAGAGAGAGAGAGAGAGAGAGGTGGGTGTGGCCCTGCCCTGTGAGGTAGGATGGAGCAGTGGGCACATGCATCAGTGCCTATTTTGACCAAGATTTCGAATTTCAACTGACAAAAGAGAGTGGTGCCTACGTTCACAACTATCCACACGGTACAAGTCCGTGCCTTTAGAGCAGTTTTCTACTAGTGGGACCAACTTTCTTTTCTCTCTATTGCTTTTTCTAGAACCAAATTAAACGTTGGCCACGTCCATTTATATTTGTGTAAACCACCGTGTAATCTGGGTCAAAGGAAAGGAAAATTCCACAAAAGAAAAGGTGTCGTAGTTTTGATCGAACTTCTAAATGTAAAGCATACATAGGAAGTTCATGAGATTGGGAAAAGATCAATTTCAGGGAGACTGAGGGAGTAGCTATTCAGCATCACAATAACTAAAGCCATGGTTGGCTTATCAGCAGCCACATTTTCATGCACACATAATAATCCAATGTGGATGCATCTCATTATTTCACTTCTTGAACCAGTCCTCAAGGTGGGATCTATTAGATTTGAAGTTGTCCCTTCCCTTCAATTTTTCCATGCCTACAATAATTTATGAATTGGAATAAATTAATTGAGATAAAAATTTGTTTCTTTCATTGCAATCAATTTCACTAATCACTATTACAAAAATCGAAATAGACGACAGGAATCCACCGTCGTCTAGAAGGTTTTCAAACCGTCGTGAAATCGACCGCCATCTTTTGATATATAAAATGACGACGGCTAGTACCCAACGTCGTTAAAACATTCAATGTCAAAAAATATTACAAACCGACATCTAATTACTATATATGTAGCGTAAAATGTAACATTCGACAAAATTAGATGACGGTTTTATTAAAACAGAGACGTCTAAAGAGTGTTACATGTCAAAATCAAAACAAGCACCAACGTACAGATAATTATCGATGTCCCTAATTGAAGGAATACAGGTTTTATTAAACCGTCATGGTTAATTTATACTGTGTTAAATAAATAAACAAACCGACATCTAACTTGTAAAAGACGACGCATAGCCAAAAGAATGGACGTTTATAGCATATTACATGTCAATAATCACACAGGCACCGAAGTAAAATTAATTTACCACAAGACACATGTGGAAAACCCGTCGCTTATACGATTATCCACATTGCAATGTAGGAGAACAACGCCTTTAAAAAAATATTCCATGTCTGTTTCTTGCGAGAATAGTCGTTTAAATTATATAAAGATGATGCTTTTTATACAAAATGGACGTCTGAATACTTTAAAATGACACAATATTATTGAATACCAACGTAAGAAATCCTACCAACGACTAGTGTTGTTAAAGGCTGACATTAAAAATTATATTAAAGGCGTGGACAGGAAAAGAAACAACGTGGATTATATCTTCAACGTCGGTTTTTGTAAAATAAAGGACGTAGTTAATTCCTTCACTACGTCACGAGGATCCAATTGTATGACGTTGTAATTCCTTACCATGTCAGTTTCTAATACATGTTGGCGTGGTCGGCCTTTTAAAAGTCGCTTGTGTAACCCTCCTTGACGTGTGTATTCTTTGAGAGCTCATATGTTTTAGACTTAGTTTCAGTGTTCTACTTCTGTTTGCTCTTGTTCAGCTATCCTGTTATGCTTTGATATAGCACTTCATATGTTATTGTATCAAGAATGTGCTGCATTGATTTGAAACCAATGTGCTAATAAAAACTTATTTTATGGTTCGAAAATTGACTACTTGTTTCGCTTTAGGTCTTCAATGTCCAGACTTAGCTATTTACTTTTGAAATATGATTCTTTTGTATCAATTTACTTACACTGGAATATCTTTCGCTACGCAAAATACAGAGGACATAAGTCAAGTGTACAATATTATGATGAACAAGAAAAGTTGATAAACAAATTAAAATACTAATTTGAAGTAACAGAATATTAGCAGACTCTTGCACTGTTCTTTGATTATGTCCTACTTGAACAATTAGTGAATGAATCAAAAGGGATGCTAATAAATTACATTACAATTTCAGAAAGCCAGTTTGATTTGATCTTCAACCACTAGCGAGGATGTAGTTCAGTAATTTCTGAAATCTCATATTCAAGTGCTTTGGCAGAGTTACTCTTGGAATGATCAGACCTCGTTACCCCTGAATTATATTCCAATCCTAACGACATGTCCGATCCAATGCTATGCAAATAAAATGCTGGTTGGGAGGGCAATGGGAGAGTGAGAGAGTAGCTATTCAGCATGAGAATAACAGAAGCCATGGTTGGCCTATCAGCCACATTTTCTTGCACACATAATAATCCAATGTGGATGCATCTCATTATTTCTGTTCTTGAACCAGTCTTCAATGTGGGATCTATTAGATTTGAAGCTGTC